GAGCATCAGGGACAGGACACCAGACGTAGATGAACCACTGGTCTGATCAAATGTGACAATTCCTATGTTGCTATGCTCTGCTTCACCAGGACTGTTCTTTTAAAGTACATGTAGAGCACAACTAACAGCTGTCTCTGGACCTGCAAAACTCAAGTGTTTGCTTGTTCCACGTGAGAGAGCAGACTACAAGCAACATCTTGTTACTGAGCAATAAAGGCCACAGAGCGTATTCCTCAAAATCTTTTAAAAGTTCTTGCTAGGAAAGAAATTATTTTCAGGTTTCCACTTATTGAAAGAACTCCACGGTACGTAACCCACTTGTTTCTCTAGCAGCAGATCATTTTTTTCTTTTTTGAAATATGAAAACATTTATAACATCAAACTGCAAATGAAACCATTTTCCTATCCCAGATTAATTTACCATTTACTGTAACCCTCCCTGTCAATGATTCTTTAGATTGCATCAAACTGGGGTAGCTGGGGCAACTGAAAAACTGAGAAAAGACTTTGTGAAAAGTAATACCACATAACCCAGAGGGAGCCGAGACCTGCTTGTGAACCTTTAGAAAAGATAAAAAGCTCATTTAGGTATCATGTGAACTAGAAAACACCAGTGCTGTTTTTGTTATTCGGTGTTCAGATTCAGTGTTCCAGTCCAGCCTTTTACAGAGGGCATTAGTTGCAAGCTCCTCTGTTAAATGAGTTCTTTACACAAAACAAGAAATTCATCACCTTTTAATGTCCAATTAAACAAGTGAACTCTCCCAAGTCCTGCAGCTCTAACGCTCTGAGTGCAGTGAGGGTTTTCTAGTTTCTGACAGGCAAGGTCTCTACATTAATGTACTTTGCACTTATAGAAATTTTGCGGAAAGAAAGGTCAAAAGGGTTATGTTTGGCAAAAAAAAAAAAAAAAAAAAAAAAGACCAAGACCAAGGGCAGTTGGGAACCTAGCCTTTCATGCAACCTCTTCTTACCCCTAAGTCACTCCAATTTGCCCAGTTTGCTCTAGGATTTTATAAATGAAAATGTTTTCTTTAAAGAAAAGAACAAAAAAAAAGTTACTACTTCAATCTTAACCTACGATAGATGTAGTCTACTTTCACATACTAGATGCTTCTGGTCAAGTCATTTTTTACATATATATAAATGGTATATTATATATACACACATACAAAATTAATATGACCAGAAGTATCTAGTACATACAGTGTCTGTATACATGGCTGTGTATGTGTATAGATACACATGCACATCATAAATGTGTGTGTGTAAATATGTATATATGGAGATACATGCGTACCATAAATATAAGAGGATTTTGCGGGTGACCCATTCTTTTCGATAAGTAAACCCATAAGAGAACTATAACTTAATAATCAGATTCATTCTGAACTGTATGAATGGGATCTGACATAGAACCACTATTCATTTCAATTGAATCTACTAATCTACTCCAAGAGCATCATTAACCAAAGCATACTTATGAATATGTCCCTAAAAATGAAAAAGATTTGACACTGATACTTTAGTTTATAACAAATGTAACATTTGTCATAATTTCCTTTAAGTCCTCTCTCAAAAAAATAGTTTTCCTTCTAATACTGCTACTACTGCCTACCAATGAAAACACAAGAATTACCAGTCAAAATCCCTTTTGAATTAAAAAGAAATAAAGATGAGTAGCAAAGATGACAAGCGTTAGGAAAAGACCCAAACAAATTTAAAGAACTATTAGAATTATCCTCTAAAAATTAGGGTATTTAGCATTATAGTTGAGCTTAAAATGAAAAGGACTACACTGAAGAAAAAAATAATCCTTACCTATGGTTTCAGTGACACCATGCAAAAATAATCAAAGAAATGTATTAAAATAATCAGCTTACTCAAAGCCCATCGAGCCTACAATGTGACAGTCGTTTTGCATGACTGGGTAGAGCCAAGGCCATTTGTGTGCCTTGACTATACATTTCCATACCCTAATATGCTTGAATTTCTCTTAAGCATTTGGTTAAATTTTAAGACAATTTGTCCTAAGCGTCTTTCTTTGATCTATGTGAACTTCCCTTACGATCTTTAAAAAAAAATAACTGAAGCATATTAACTATAAGCACTATATTCTGTTGCAGGTTATTATATTGCTGTAAAGCATGGCAGAAGAAACAGGAAGCCTTAGCTGCCTTACCTTTAGTCGAAAACAGACCAGTCCCAAGATGACCTCAGCACAGATCTCAAATCGCTCATCCTGAAGGACTAAATGTTCAAATTGATGTGACAGCCTGATATGCTGGGAAGAGAAAGACAGTATCTATGTTGTATAAATTTGATTCATCAAGACAAAAGATTTTGCTAAATCGTTTCCATTCCTAATCTCTTTTCTCTCTTCTGCTATGTGATAATATGCACATATAGCCATCTGCTTATGTTAACTTGCGTCCCAGTCATGACTTTCAGAGCTCGTAACTGAGCAGTTACTGTATTAGTTGCTCAGTCTATCTTAGGCTGTACTAGTCTGTTTCTTATTGAATTGTTTAGACACAGTTTTATACCTGTTATGATGCCATATTAATAGTAAGCAATATTAATAATTGCTCTTTAGGTCTTCTACCACACAGTTTTGCTTGAGACTGCCTAAAAAGTCCAAAAGTTACTATGGGGGAAAGGGGAAATGCACAGATATATACACAGAGAATGATCACAATTACAGTGGAAAACAAGCTAGAAAGGCACTAAAAATATATCAAGCAAGTGAATTATACTAAAAAGCATAACTGTGAAGAAGGGGAGAACTTGCTGACTTATCTGAAAAAGATGCTCAGGATCAGCTGAAAAGAAAAATGATGGTGGTCTGATCAAGGAAATTGATAGCAAACTTCTGCCAACCCATTTAATAGTTACTGAGATAAAAAAAGAACGACATTAGACACCAAACCAGAGCAGTTATATCAATGTATAGTAAAACAGCCCTCTCCTAAAATCAGTCTGATCGGAAAAATATCAACATGTCTATTAATAATCATCTAGGAAGGCTTAACATCTGGGAATGATGTTTTGCATTCCTGTTTCTCCCAAACGGCAAATGAACACAAGAGCACTTGGAAGAAAAGAACTGCAGGCTATTGGAATTACATTTTGTCTCCACGCAATAGCCAGTCTATTCCAAAAATCATCAGCCACATCCAAAATGAAGATGATTAAAAGTTCCTTAACTTGCACAGATTCACAACTCCAAGTAATTTTACAAAAATAAAAAGCAACTACACACCCCATGTATCTTCCTTCTTTTGCACTTTAAAGAAGTTGAAAGGAAAAATAATTGAGCAAAAATAAAAATTTCACTTTGGGCCAGGGCTAAATGTGGAATGTTTCATCTCATGAGAACTTTTTCCAAAAGCCAAGAACAAGTCAAAACAGAAGTTACAGGAAAACAAACAAACAAACAAAAAACTAAAATACATTTTGCAATCTTAATTATAGCTTTCTGATGTTTATTTCTTAAAATGGAAAAACATTGTTTATATTGAATCAAAACATTGATTCAAAACCTTCAGACCAGGCATATTGATAGCCTACATAACTAGCCACTCTTGTTACCACTTCCTTTCTGTTGTTCGCTACATCCATTTATCATCTCCCTCTTAAATTAGACTGAAAGCTCTTTCAGCTAGGAATAAGGACAATAAAATGCCCAGTCCTTCCCAAGGCAGTTGAATGTTATGCTAATATAAATAGCGTGAGTTCACAGCCATGAAAACTGATCAGAATTACATGTGTACACACATATATTAGTACACACAAATGCATGTAAAACATATGAAATAGGCATATATGCTGTAACAATCTTTTACTATCTTCTCCTATCCTTATGTTCTGTAGCATTAACTAAATTTACATCTTGTAAACAGCCCTGCACAATTTCACAGACCATATATTAGGTCTTGGAAATCAAGTCCATTAAAAGTATCATGTTCACTGAGATCAGAACTTCACAAAGCGTATGACTGAATCTAATTACTATCTGAAGTTAATCAAAATTTTCTCAGTAAGAGTTGAATAAAAAACAATAAAATTAAGATTTGGCTCATTGCAAGTAGTTCGCGTAAGAAAACTCTAGATTCTTGCTGTTCGTTATTTAGCAGGTATTTATATCCGTTTTTTCACTAACGAATTTTTCAGGGCTTTAAAGGAAATAAAAGCAAGGAAAGCAGAGAATATTCAGTAAACCCAAATCCAGCAAAAATGCTGACAGCATCTTATACTCGTATATGGATGCAAGTAATTCTATCCAAGCAAGCCTTTGTAGGTATCAATAATTCGTCAAGCCACTGGGGGGCACCAAGTGCCTTAGGTTTTACAGAAGCAGAACGCAGAGAAAGGAGAGACTGAGGGAAGTTTCACCTAAAGCTCTGCACCTTTGTACCGTCAGGAATTATCTTGAATCGCTTTTACAATAGTTAAACATTATTAAGCCTGGAAGTTCCAACGCTGTAAAATCAAAGGGCTTTTAGGTATCCTACTTGCCTCTCTGTGACCCAAAGAGCTGCACCTACACTCTGAATACAGGTGCAGTAATAACTCACAGAGGACACAAGCAGTTTTAATACTTCAACCTTGCAAGACATACAGGTAAACTGTGAAAATACAGTTTGGAAAAATACTGTCTGGAGAATCAAGGACACAGAAACTAAGGAGAGGAAGGCAGGAGAGAGAAAAGACAATCAGCTGTTCTCACTTTTTGTTGTATGTGTTCAAAACAGGCTTGACCTATGAATTTTTTTTAACCCTCCAGATTATTTTGATTTTGGCATTTGTGTCGTGCTGTGTCCCTAGCACCAGTACTTTAAAATGGACATTCAGATTGGATTTGACTTCTGAAAATGACTTTATTTACCACTCTTAAATAAACTTTTAAAAGTGTGTGTACATACACTGGCTCACATATGTGCTACTTCAAGTAGTATCATTCGGACAATCCCTGTATCACATGGGTCCCCAAAGTGGAATTACACTGACTGTGTCAGTGGCCTGAAGACTCTTGGGACACCAGCTCTTCTCTTAGTGAAATTCAGCAGATGGAAGAAAAGAAGCTTAAAAGGAATTTTTGTGAATTGCTGTGTCAGGTAAATAACCAGTCTTTTTGTGGGGAGGCAGGGGAAAAAAACCAGAGCTTTAATTCATGTGATTATTCACGATTAGGGGATATTCTTACAAAAATCACTAATGGGAGCAATAAACTTGTGAAGCACTAAGAAGTGGCCCATATAAAAAAATATATATGTCCCTATATATACACATGTTCGTATGTGTACACACATACGCACACACACATGCCATGTGTGTGTGTGTGTGTATGAGCTCCTGCACAGAAGTGTTTCAATTGAATATTGATTGTTGGGCAAGTCCTTAAAGAACTATAGGACTCTTTGATTGATGGGAGTTTCTCCAAAGCTTCAGAGTACAACAATGAATATATACATGTGCACATACCTGCACAGACTTGATCATCAGATACTTTTCTTTCTACAGCTTTTACCCCTCTGCCTGCTCTAGTTCACAATGCAGTTTGAATCAATGTGCTGCCAAAACAGCCTCCTCCACAGCCATTTGGACTATGCCACTCCCCAGTGGAAATACCATCCCTGGCATTGCTGGTCTGTACAGTTCCAGTCTCTTGCTCTCTGCTGTTAATTTTTAATGAAATTCATTATGCTTAGAGAGAAAAGAAAGATGTGATATGCTGACTTCTTCTGAACCTACAGAGGATTCATCTGAATCAAAATGCTCAGGGAGAATCACATACAAAAACATTACTTCTGAATTTCTCAAATGACTTCCGAGCTCCCTCAGATGACTTACAATGGCACAAAAGCACAATACAGGCCATTTACACGGGCTGTTTACAGATTGGCCATTTACACTTTTGGCTTTCACATTTATACTGACTCTGCATGTTTGGAATTGGCCCAGAAGCCTGTTGTTGCCCTTTTTGTACATCTCTTCCATGTCTTTGGAACGTACCTCTAACACTTAATGTTTTTCTCTCTCTCCACATTCTTGAAAGATGACTACCCTCCCCTTTACCACTAGAAGGTTTTGAAAACAAAAAAACTTATTGTATCTAAATCAAAGTCAGTCATCTTCATCTTCCAAGAATATTTTGGTCCCTAAATGCCTTTCTCAGTACAAGTAAATACCAGGTTACAGTGGTTATCCAGTCATTTTGATACAGACCTTAAGTGCTGCAGACATAACAAACATCTTAAAACATATTATTTAAAAAAAAAAAAAGAAACAAATAGTTTTTTGTGGCATTTTAAAACCAAAAAAAGAGAAAATATTGTGAACAGGTAGTTGCATATCTCTTTGGTCTTCCCCAGAGAATCTTGCTAATCGCACAGTAAATATGGTAGTTTCTTATGCATATTCAGTGTCGGTTCTCTTTACAGGTCAGAATCTCATCACTGAAAATCTCAGTGACTTTGCAAGTAAAACCTGGCTAAGCAAAGGAAGCCCGAATAAAAGTATATAAACACCAGATAAATTCTCCTAAGCTTCCAGTGACTTAGCAGCTAAAGTGTCATTTTTATAGGGGATCAAAGCATCTGTATTGAGATTTATATAACCTCAGAAAGGAACTGAACCCTTGGGTCCCAAATCTGTCAATAAGGTTCAGCCATGCATCTGAACAGGCATACTCTAGCTGCTATTGTGCAGAGCAAACAGGAATGACAGGCCAGACGTCAGCAAATCTAAGCGTATGAGAACTACCTGGTGCACTAACCGAACGGTACATCCCAAACACATGCATCCCCTTCTCTGTGTCCCAGGCCAAGGAAAGTGTTTCCAAGCTTTGCTTTTCTGCCTGATTCTCTTCGCTTGACCTTTTCCCTTTGGCGACTGCTGACTAACACAGCAGAGAGAGCATTTCTTCCCCCTCCCCCCAACTCCAGCCACTCTCTTCTCCACTTAATGGCTGCAATACTCGCTTCTGTCATTTTTATCTACGTCTCTTCTCATTCTGTGTACGTGTATCCTATAACCTGCTGTAATAAAGGCAGCTTAAAAAATAATCCTGGCAGTTACAGGGATTGCAAGGCACAACTAAAGGCACAACTGAAAGTACAACACAAGACACACTACCAGCTATTCTTGTAAGGATTGCCTTTGCCAGCAATAGGAATATAAAGCTGTTATTTGCATGATGTTACGATGTGTTTCAAAAAAAGTAGCTTTTCCAAGCTGAGCACTGGGACGAGCAACGGGAAAGCGAAGTTAAATTCCAAATTACTTTTTGCTCGGAAGCTGCCTGTAGCTTTGAAAATATAAGCCTGTGTCAGGCTAGTGTACATATTTCATTACTACGCTGCCCAGTCATCACAATATATCTGGAATTCAGATTCCAGATAATTCCTGAGAAGGGAGGAAAATGGTAAGATGTGAAATATATTTTTAATTGCTATTTTGCAGGTCCTGATATAACCTGAACTTTAACCAACACGTCTGCAAAAAAATCACAAGAGTTATCTTAAATTCTGCTAGCGCAGGAAGCAAATGAAATGCAATTACTTCTTGAAACTTTAGCTCAATGGATTAAAAAAATTATTTTTTTTTCTTCAGCGGTTAAGGTGCTTTGAAAGCCATTTTATTTAATCGGCACTCATCCATTCCATATGGGGGTGGAGAGGAGAGTTTATCTTAATGGTTCCAGTTTGACAGATGTATATAGTGGCCCAAATTCTGCACTTAATTACCCCTGTTGCCCTTTCAGAGTTGCGAACATGAGGTTATAACTTATTTTTCTCCATGTGCTAGGGAAGATTTTGGTGGTTAATGAAACGTTAAACATATACAGTCATCTCAACAAGCCCTTGGAAATCTGGCTTTCTAAATTACTTTTAAAAATAAAGGAACATATAGCCAATGCCTTTACAAAAAGATTAGTTTGCTTTGCCTTCCAGAATGGTGTTGTCAAAGAATATAAAAATTTGGTCTTCAATCATGAGTATGGGAAGGCAAGGACTTGCTGGCTGGACACTCAGGGAAACGTCTGGGAGACGGGAAAAGAGGGAATTGCAAAGTGATTTCTTGAACATAAATATTAGACTGTGGAAACTCTAGCCTGATAAAGGCCATGTAATTAATTTGAAGCTTCCAACTCTCAGTTGTCACAGTGAGAGATTTAGTCCCGCTTAAAAACTTGGCATCACATTCAAATAGCTGTAGTCTCCAAAACCTAACCTGACAGAGCAATCCACGAGAAGATCTAACGCTAGCCTGGTGGCTGTAAGGGTAGCTATAGGAAATCACGTAGCAATTTTTCATTGGAAGAGAGCATATCAGATTGCCCAGGGATGACTAAATGCCAGATTGCCACTGTTTCCAAAATTTGTTTCTCCAAGCCTCATTAAGAATCAAAATCTAATTTAGAAACCTGTAAAGCCAAATGAAAAAACATGGTGTGGGGAAAAAAAAAAAAAAAAAATCTAATTTAGAAACCTGTAAAAACAAAAAAAAAAACATGGTGTGGTTAAAAAAAAAAAAAAAAAAAGAGTATCCCCCACCCCAAAACCTTTCAAAATAGAAAAAGATTTATTCATGCAGTGGTTTTCACAATAGTGGAAGCCTTCCTTAAGAATTAATCTGTTTCGTACCACAAGAGAAAGGAATGTGCGTCTGCACAGAGTTCGGTGTACTAGACTAGATTCTCAGCTAATGGATATTTTTGTAAATATTTGGAGTCAAGTCACAGATCTCCCTTCACTAGAAGTTTCCCTGAACTTCAGAAAGATGAAAGGAATGCTTAAAGTTAACTTTCCTGTTATAGAAGAATTACATATGTCATTCAGACTGGTGCCAGGTGTGTTTTTTCGTGTTTAAAAAAAAAAAAAAAAAGACAATCTTCTTTTCACAGCAATAAATTTAGTACATATTCATAGCAATGCTAACAAACTGTAAATTGAACACTTTTTTTTAAAGTCTATTTTAAACAGGAAAAAAGAAGCAACAGATATTATCACTGTAAGGATAGGTATAAATGCTCAGTATGTTATTGTATCATAAATACAGCCCAACAACCTTAATCATAATCTAAACATACTATCAATGAACAGCCATTAGTAAAATAAAGAGGTAATGAATGTTTCCATGTTTTCCCCAATAAAACCATTAATGGGCTTAGGCTTAATTTGAAAGGGAACTATGGTCCCACATTTCAGAAATTCCAAATTTCTAGATTTTTCTTTCCCAAAGATTAACACAAAATGGATGATCATCTGGATCCTGCCATGGCGTGAAACTGTAACACTATGTGAGGCAAACAAACAGTACTCCTATCGAACTGAGCCATCCAGAAGCCATTGTCTGTGCTTTCTGCTTCTGTGCACCGAAGTCATGGAACGTAGATAGGTATTAGCTCATTTTCCTTTCCATCCCACTGTAAATTACCCGAGAAGGCAAACTTGAGTCACCTTGCGGATGTGTTCCTGCAGTCCCGTCACCCCGTACATCCTCAGCACGAACCAGAGCTTCAGGGAGCGGAACCTCCTCCCCAGGGGGATTTGCCAGTGCTGCAAGCCAGGGAAAAGGGAGGGCACCCACATTAGAAGTCATTACTGCAGTGATATTCCAGAAATTGTACATTTGTACGATGGTACAAACATGGTATGTTTTGAAACATACCACGTTTGCAGATCCTACAGGCAGCTGCTAGAGGTGGATCAAACACCGACAGAAACATTTGTTTCTGGCCAATGCCCCAGCGTTACTGCTAATACTCAATGTTTTCAAATGAAAAGTGCAAAAGGAGGCTGGTGTCAGAATGGAAGGGTCACAAGGCAAAAATCAAATGTTCTTTGGGAACCCCACGTTCTCCTTGAAGACTTTAGAAAAAATGAGGTATCTTAGCAGTTCCTATACATTAATTTGTTCACAGCTTTGGTGTTAGTATTGTCATTGTAGAATGATGGGACCATTTTCCACCTGGAAACAAATACGTTTCTACCACCAAGCCTAAAATGCATATGCAGTTTTTTTAAATGTATTATTCACTGGGTTAAGGAAAAAAAAGAATCTTTAGGAAATCTCTTTCTACCACCTAAATCTTGAGCTCTCACCTATGCAAGGCAATTTTTGCCTTTAAACAAAATTTTTAAATAAGGAAAGTTTAGAGGGTTTGAAGTTTCAGCTTTTTCTGGCTTGAGGAATGCTAAGAATTTAACAAAGCTGAGCCTCCTCCCTGGAAAGAAAGCTAAGGATTTGAGGTTTATGAGAGTAATGAAAAACAAAGTGTAGCCTTGGAAATATCAGAGTATGCAAACAGTAATATTAATTGTTTCTTGGATGCTGTACTTACCCGGTAATCTGTTACAAGGCCTGAAAGTTAAAGAAAAGAAAGTTAAAGAAAAAATGTTCACATTTCTTCATCTTAACAGGCAGAATCTACAATAATTCAAACACCACTGAAAAGCTACCCCTAGCTATCCTGCATGTTTGCTGCAAACTTCAGCATCATCAGTATCCACAGGACCACTAAATATCTAGCAGGATATTTAGCAGCATACTAAACTTAGGTGTTAATGAGCTTCATTCCTCAGCTGGTGAGAATATAGCAATAACAAACTAAACAGTTTTCAGGAGAAAAGCCACAATTTTTACTCTCAGCTATATTTCAGACTAAATCTCGTGGTTACTTTCCCTCTTATAAGGAAAAGAAATAGTTGATGAAGTAGTTTTTATTAACTTAACTTGAAACAATTTGTTTTTCCCAGATTTGTTTTTCACTCATTCTCTGCTGTGAAATTGTCACCAACTGTACCCCGGTGAACTGGTAACATTTTTAAAAATAACGTACTTCTGACTACTTTATCTACTCACTCATAGATTTGCTGCTAACTTTTCAGTAAGTCCAGCAAGTGACTGAAGAATTTCACTGAAAACTGATCTCTTCTTGCATTTGGAGAATAGTATTCTGCATTTTTATGGCTTTTCATTTGATGCAAAGTACCTTACAAGCGCTGATTAACCAAGCCACAAAACAGTCCAGGGAGCAAACAGAAGGTGTTTTTTGTTGTTTTTTATAACAGTATGCAGGGTCAAAATGTGTCTACCTTCTCTTCAAATCAGAGAATTAAATTGATTTTATAGTAGAGGAAACTATAACATGATGCTGAATTACTTGCAGTAAGCTAGTGACAGAAATTAGAACAGACCTAAAAATCTAAAGCACTTACTTAGGAATCTGCTTAGCTTTATTATTCTGCTTTATTTTTCTGCAGTGGAGTACTAGCTTCATTGGAAAATATGTGCTTGAATTTCACAGGAAAGTGAAAGTGCTGTCTAGGCGCTCCTGGAATTAGCATCACAAGCTACTACATGGAACTACAGCTTATGAATCTGACCAGTCTACGTCATCTATATAATTCCCAGGCTTCATATTTTCCAGGGGAAAAATAACAATAGTATTCCCTGTGTTCCAGGTTCTTTTGCTAACACTCTCTCACATACACAGCGAAAACATCAGAAAACACATGATCCTTCCTCCCTGCAATATATACCCATTTGGTTCATTAAGCTGTTCCTTAAGTATTTTCTAAGGGAAAAAAGTCCCAAACAATCATTAACCTGTTCTTGGACTTCAGAAGATGACCACTGTTGTCTCAGCTGAGTATCAAGGTAATTTGATAACATTCATGTTCTTCTGCACTGTAGCAGCTTTTTTTTTTTTTTTTTTTTTTTGATAGCTGCAAGACTGGTAGCAAAGAGTAAAGCAATTGGTAATAGACAAATAATCCTACGCTCCTGTAACGGACTACGTCTAATGATCCACAACAAAGCCTTTCACAAGCTGTGAAGCAGAATGCAATCAATGATTAGTCCTTGATTACAAGCCTTATTCTTACATCTGTATTTAACCAGGAGGAACGGAATTGTGGGAGCATATGTGACACTCACAATAGAGTATAAAGCTGCATTCTTCTAACAGTGCCATTAGGATTTGACCTATATCCAGGGTTGCCAGGCAGGCTAGTATAATCTTCCTGGTGTAATGATGCAAATCACATAAAATTATAATTAATGACAAAATAAAGACGTTCCCCTTGGGGGCACACATAATTGCCATATGGTTATTAAGAGCAATTGCTCACAGATAGATATATTTTTCCGCTCATTTAAATTCTCAAGTGAGCGATGAGTGAGTTCAAAAATGCCACTTCATTTGCCTTGTAAGCCATGGTGGGAATTCTCCGACCTGAGACATAGTCGGTTAAGAAACTAAGACCCTCCATCAGACAAGTCTGATTTCCAGGAGTGCTGACATCCCATAAATCACACTGAGATCAATAGAGACTGTAACAGCCTAGCACCTTTGCATATCTGGCCATTTTTATTGAAGGCGTAAGTGTGGATTGGATTTAGCAGTTCAACTAAAGGCATTTGCATCTGAAAAGCGTTGTCCGCTCTTTGGAAAATTGCTAGCAAATGGGAAGAGAGCATAGAAAAACTTAGCGTCTCTAGACTGCTAATAATCTGCTGACCTACGTGGAATCATTATGTCCAGATCACATAACATACTATCACAGCTCATGAAGGCAAGACAAAGACTGAATAACTCCTTATCTAACTGGGGAGGGAAAGCTCTCAGGTCAAGTAAGCGGCCTCACTCAAAGTAGCCAATTTTAAGGAAGGTTTTATATTCTTTGGGTGTTATTTAACCTGGGGAAGACCTAAGATTCTTGTAGGAGCACTCTCAATTGTCCTAAAAATATATTTTCACTTTAGTTAAAGTTGGATTTTTTCCCCTCGAGAGAAACGTTGTCTTTGTATGTTAAGTAAAAGTCAGCGATTTAAATGTAATTACTGTTGTTTGTACTTTTCATAAGAAAGGCAAACATCTTAACAATTCTAACCTTTGGATGGTGAACCTCAACTCCAGAGTTAGTGCATTTTCCTGTTTATTGCACTGTTCTGTATTTGCATTGCTTGGAAATGTAGGAAAGGAATAAAATATGAAGTTTCTGCCCATTCAGGATTAAGGCACAGGGATCCATTATGCCTAGCCCTTTTTACTGAATGGTGAAATTCTCTGGATGGTATTAGTTTAAACATTTATGAGTCAGTGACCATAACAGAAAGAACAGAAAAGTACTTAGGATATACTTTTGAACACAGATGACCAGCAATTCCAGGAAAAATAAGAGATACAGTAAATGACAAGAACATCCACCTGGAGGGGATGCAACCTTTGAGAGTGTTATTAAGGAACTTGTGCCACTGCATTGCTGTGACTTGCTTCACAATTAATCAGTTATCAACCAAATGTGTAAAAACAATCAGGCTTCAAAATGCCCCTCTGCAATTGCTAGGTATGTGAGAGGAGCAGCACTTGGACATGAAGAAACTTTGTGCAAGGCCTAAGATAGGCTCTAAGTTTTTTGTGAGCATTTTCTGAGGAACGCTTCTTCGTGTAAGACTGATAGCCTGCGCTTACCTCCATTGCTACAGTCCATACCGGAACGAGTGCCCCAGGATCATGTCTCAGAGAGCTGGCACTCAAAATAGAGCACAGTTCTTAATCACAGCTCACTCCTCCTTTACAGATTCCGGGAAAGCTCCTGACATGTGTAACTGAAAATCTGAATCAGAGCTCACATGCATAGCCTGGAAAAAGGGTCACAGGCTTTAGAATTGATAAAAATAGAACAGATCATGAAACCATTCTAGTGAAAGATATGCTGGGGAAAGTGGGGCTTGGGACTGATCCATAGCACTGGATAATACATCTGACATCCAAAAGACTTTCCAAAAGAATTTCCCCAACACTCATACAAAGAATCGGGGTAAATCTGGAGCTGGGGAAATCCCAGTACAAAAGTATTAATGCTTCGTAAAATGGCTTTCCTTGAATTGCTTTTGATATCAAATAAAAACCTCAATAGACATGTGCGTACGCTTTAATAAGCTTAACTCTCTAAGGCACTTTGGAAATGGAAATAGGCTTCTAAACAACTTAGGTAGTTTTAAGCATTTTAGTTTGCATCTTTAATCATTTTTTCTTTAAATATCAGTGTGCAAATAAAATAATGATAATCTTATTTAACTATAAAATTACCAGACTCCTGATGGTGATGCTGCAGATAAAGAGGATCTAATTTAAAGGCGCCTGTTAAATCCGATCTTTTTTTCACCCTACATGAAAAAAAGAAATCGAATTGAGGAATTTAAGAATTACATATTTAAGGCATTAAATTTCAACAAAGAAGTGAAGGAAAATTAAACGTGTTTAAACAGAGAAATTCAAGGCCTCATCACTGGCACATTTCCTGGGCATAGCCTGTGCCATTTTCAGCGTGCTGCTTTTTCACAGCTGTACCAGTACTGTACTTACAAGTAGTAAGCTTAATGCTCAGCAGCAACGAGCAGCATGTGACTGCATATTTAAAAACAGACAAGAAGCAGAAGCAGACACAGGGGACCTTTCTGCAGTGACAGACACTCACACCAGAATGTGAGACAAGTTAAAGCAACACTAGTGTTTACAGTAAACAGAAGTTGCTTTGCAGTTACTGCAGTAGAAAGCGTGTGGGAAGAGCTATGGCTTCTTAGACACCATGTGTAGCTGTGGCGAGGCTTTATGGACGCTGGCCACGGTCTCTCCGTGCTGTGGGTGGTGGTAGCCACTGGTAGACACTAGCCATCCTGTCTGAAGGCAGGCTTCCCTCTTGTACCACCCTTACTACCAGCCTGGCTTGACTGCGTTGAAAGACGTACCATAGCACAATGTAAAACTCAGAAGCGCACCTTACAACTGCCAACTAATGTGTCCTTTGCAGATAGAAAAAGGTATCTTTTGCCAGGGAATAATAACAAGATTTTGATGGTATACTCTTCACACTGTGGGTAAGAGTGACTCACCTCTACAAATGATGGGTTTTATATATGCAGAACAAGAAGAAACTAGAAATCAAAAAGGTAAAGACCACTACATCATTATATTATGCCTATATCTCACAAAATAAGTAATAATTACGTCAATATGGGGACATCACTCTAAATGACCAAAGTCCAAACTTTCCATGATTTTCAGCACATGCTTTTTTCCAATGTTAATTATTGTAAATTTATAAATAAAAATCTAATTTCCAGTATTTTAGCCTGTATGTGTAAGTGCACAGACCAGTACATGATCCCACATTCCTTCACATCTAGACTATGCACATTAAACATGTCATTCAAGCAAACAAAAAGACCTCCTCCCACTTTAATGTTCAGGAAATTACCTATGTTCAGAAAGTACTTGCCGTCAAGTATGGAATGTACCTAACTGAAGATAAGCAAGTTTATGCATATGAAAAGTAGTAATAGGCATTCAGAATATTCACAATCAAAAAATTAATAACCTACTTTTATGTTGGAAGTGTCCTATTGATAGGAGGAAGAAACTATTATCCAACAACAGCTTTAAATAGGCTCAGTGTCATGAATAAACCTGAACTTGTTCCTTTTATCTATTGATCTGCTACTTTACTGGATATGTTTATTACTTTGATATAGTCAGGTTGTTTATAGGATGAGCTACTGAAACACAAGTTATAAGCAATATTATTAATTAGTTGTATTGTGAGTTTTATTCCTTCTCCTGTAATATGCTGTACTAAATAACAGAACAGATAGCTATTCTGCTGAGACATCAGTATGTTGTTGGCAATTTTTATAGAGGATATTAAAATGCTGTCATCCTGCACTTCTCATCAAGTATGAGTTGATGTATTGGTTCCTATTAAAATGACATTAGTAATCATTGCGATGTTACTGTTTTAAAAAAAAAAAAAAAAGATTGCGTCTGTCCTATTTGGGGACTTCACAGGTTTTAATCTAGTAACCACGAATAACTATCTAAAAGGATTACTAAAATAAATCCAAGACCTGGACATAAATGTATATGAATCACTTGAGTTGCACATTTATACGCCAGTTACGCCAGGTCTAGATTTGATCCTTTGTATTTAAACTTCTTTGTAGTAAGCGCTAGCATGGTCCACAATGGACAGCAGAGGTGTTCTTAGCTTTCTTTGCAAATAGCAGGGGTTGAATAACTAGGATCTTCAATACATATTTCAAAAATGTCATTGATAAACTAGAATTTTTAAAAGACTTGATGCTATGCTAACGAACTCTGAAAGGAGAAACTTTTTGCTATTTTATACTAAGCCAGACAGCCAATTAAACAGCTTGGACAAAACAGACTTGTAGTTTCAAGGCAGAGTCTCTAAAGGACCCCAGCACTGCAATATGGAAAATATGCCTCTCTCAGAGTGGCTATATTAAACTCTTTTTTTTTTTTTTTAAATAAAGTCATCTGATTACTCTTCTCTGTATATTAGGAAGTCTGAGACTATTTTACAAAAGGTTTAAAATGAAATTGCCTCCAAATCCCAAATGACATCAGTGCTAGATATCGTACTAAGTATTATACAATTACATTACAGATCTAATGGCTGGATTATCTTAATCAGTTTACAAGGGAAAGAAATGGGAGTGTTTAAACATTGGAAAAGCGCTGAGAAGCGTGGGAGATTTAGAAGCCTGTCCCTCATTGGAACTCCATGCAATCTCATTGTGCAACGGTACAAACTGTTTTTTGGAACACTTTCTTCTTAGTACAAAATTATGTTTGATACTTTACAGAGATTGTAAGGGGACTACATATCATTCCCATTCACTTTTTCCTCAATAGGCCCCCTTCATCCTTTATTTTTACATTTCTGCTAAATTTTTGCCTTTTCACTCAGTGATACACTGCATAAGAGGTATATTTTGGGCTTGGGCCTTGGGAGTAGTTGGACTTCTTTTGGCAACAGATTTAGTTTCAAGCCTAAGAGTTTAACTTTAAACGTATACTTAATTCCTTATTAGGTCAAAGAAACCTATATATAAATGCCTTGCTGAAATGAAGCCTTAATGGCTGTAGTTGTGACACTTTGGCTTTGAGAAGGAGATATTTTGCAAGATCTCTTGAGAGTCCTTGTAATGGACTCCTCATACTTATGAAAAAAATGCTCTTTTATGAGATGTTTTATCTAATGGAATCCAAAAATGTGTATTTTCTGCATTGAAAGTGAAACTTGAAGGGACTTGCACTAAAACATTAAGCTATCAGCCTGCAGTTGGTACACACTGGCAGATTAATTATGCTAATATAAAATGAAGGAATAGGGTGACTTGTCCAGGTGCATTCATATAAATGCACCTATCTTTGAAAAGCAAGAAACAAAATGGAAAAAAAAAACACTTAAGAAGCATCCTGTTCTACTTAGAAAGCAGCTACTGCAGCTGTTTTAGGGCTGAACTGTAAGATACCTGAATCACCACAATGGTCTTTCCAGCATTATTTGACTATTACATATTTTGTAAAGGTTAATTCTAAGGGTTCACCTTTGATTTCAGACGAGGAGAAAAAGGAGGTGACTGTCAGTCAGTTGAGAGCTCTGAGAGTTAAGCCACTTTATTCCTAAATTATGCCTAAATTATGACTTCCAGTGACTGACTTTATGCATCCCCCTTTTAAAATTTGAGCTCATTTTAAAGATTTTTTATTTTTTTCCAAGAAGATAGACTTCAGTATGAGGAAATCCCTACCTCAAAGAAACAGAAGTGGGCAAGAATCAAGGTCCTTGCTCTGTGGGACAAATGGAAACTTTAGGTGATGGAGGGAAATTTAAGGAGGAAAGATATGAGGGTTACAACCTCCATCCCCTATGAGCACCATGCTGTACAGATGAGAGTGGAAGCAGGGAAGAGTGAAGCACTACACTTCTATAAGTCCTGTAGCTGACATACTATGCACTTATCCAAGTTCCACTGCTCTGTTCTGTCTACAAAAATAATTTTAGATTGAAAAAAAAAAAAAAAAAAACCACTTCCATGACCAAAGTGATGTAGCCTGTTTACTTACAGATGACTACAGTTTTGGATTTTTTTTTTTTTTTAATTTAGTCATCACCTTAGGCTGAAGCTTGCTTGTTCTTCCCTATCAGTAGACACCACTGAACAATGATAGGTGAGATTCTGGATAGCCTAGATGTGAGACAAGGTGATTGCCCCAGTGACTAAGAAACTACACATTTTGCAAGGGATGCAAGCTTGGGCCTTTCTCTTCTCTCTCCCGCCTATTTTCAAGAATCTTGTATCTTTGAAACCTCTACACCACAACCATAGAAATTAATAATCTAGGCTAAACTCTGCTAAGAGGAAGCTAAAATCTCCTGGGATAGAAACAAAACTAGACAGATAGTATGACTGTACATATCTTTTCTTCTGAGAAAGCCACACTAAAATACTTTTAACGTGGTTTCAGAAGGCTATGGGGGAAAGCAGGATTTATGAGAAGGACAAGACTCTGGCTCCTAATTGCCCTACAGATATTAAAAAGAATGACGGTGAATTTTCTCATTTCTGACAGTGGCTACTTTGATACTAATTTCTTTGAATGACTAAAAAAAGATGGGAGAAACTAGCAAAGGAGTGTCATCTTCTCCCTATTGCCATATACAGAGAGAGATGATGAGTCATGAGGTACTTATAAATTGGGGCCTTGAGTTAATCACTGCCACTCTGGATGAATCAGGATCAAAATGTATGCCATTTACTCTAATAAAAAGCAAACTCTCCAAGCCATAATGAACGTTTTAAGTACTTACATGGGGAAAAATTTGCATTCAGAAGTGTATTATCTGAATAATACACGCGTTTGTGTAAAGTCACCCTTGTTGACTATATTAAAAGAGACAAAGATGAAACAATGATCACTCCATTGCTTTAGGTTAAAGTTCACACTTTTTTTTTTTTAATAAATAAGGTGAATCCTCTTGCTGGATGATGTTTAAGAGGTTTTTTTTGACTTTCAATTTTTCAACTTTTTTCACTTTTGCAGAAATTTTTTTCAAATGTAACTGAAATTGATGCTTTCATTATTTTGATAAATAGCCTGCATTTACTGATTAGCTATTTTGCTGATAAGTATCCTTAACTGTGATACTGGTAATACACGAGGTTCTGGAAATTTCAGTTTGGGACACAATAAGATCATTGTTAATGCTGTTCTCCTTGTGATGATAATTTGCTTTGTTTCAAAGTATGTCTACTCATTTCTACTTTGGCATCTTTCTGTATCATAATGTAGTTTCTCCCATCTTCTAGTGGCACTGAAAATCAGTACAAAATTGCATAAATAGTCCTTTTTGAATTTAATTGTTTTTCATTGGCCAAATCCTAGATGTTTTTAGAAAGGCTTTTGAAAGGATCAAGATTCAAACTGAGAGAAATTTTATGAAAGAGAAGAAAAAGCTCTATTTAGTATGCCGTTCATTGCATTAACGCCTTTCAAGGGATTTCTTTTCTGTTTATTTTTTAAACAGTCCCAAAATGGAGCACATATGAATCTACGGATTTTTCAGGCTTTCTCCCTGAAAAAAAAGTGTGGTGCTAAGGTCTATTTCTAAATTTTTTTTTTTTTAAATTTGGATTAAATGAAAGAGTGAACGTTGTACATAATTTACAAGAGTTAAAGCTATCCAGAACTCCTCATTTCATTAGAGCAATGAAAATACATGTCTACTGTCAGACAAGCAAACTATTTTACCATGAGATTTTTTTTCTCTCTTGTAATGTTCCCTTTTTCTGTAATACTTACCACATCGCAGAGCAGTCAAAATTCACTAGGAGCCATTTGTGAGGATTAAAGTTAAATGAATCTGCAAACTGAGAGAGGAAAAATAAAAAGAAAAAAAATTATGAAAGAGAAAAGAATCCATGTGCTTATGACATAACCTAGTCAAATTTTCTGAGTACACCTCAACTATGAATGAGTTTCTGTATTGTGGCTTTATAATGTTCATACCGATATAACCTTATTTAAAAACTATGTAGTTAAATCTTCATTTGATATTGGGGATGGAATTCAGGGTAGGTGTGCAGCTAAACTTCTGGTATTATCTAAATTTGAGCATTCATTAAGAATTACACTTTTACAAAATTTGTAAATAGAGACAAATTATACATTTAGTTCTGAATTTGTGCACCACATTCATCCATAACATTTCAACTGATCATTAAATTACTTTTTTTTTTTTTTTAAACTACCAAGGTATTTTCTTTTAGTGGAATAGTCATTTTTTCACTTAAGTCCAATGTATATTAATTTTCAGGCAAGTCCAGCACAGAAGAAGTGTTTACAATACATGGTTATATGCTAAATAATAACAGCTCAGCTTTACTTAACATGTATTTAGGCATGGCAGAGAAGGAAACCCACGTAGAGGAGAAGGACATTGCGTGGGAAAGGCTTCTTTTGCAGGCTGCGTGATAAGCAAGGCATTACAATACCTTACAATGACCATTAGCAATACAAGGGGACATGAGAGCCCCTGTGGTGCTTGGGAGCACCACTTAGCACTTTTCCTTTCACACTCATTTCTCATAACCTTCCCTATCTCTTGGAAAAAAAATTTACAACTGCTCACATGAAAGGAGATATCTTTCTATCTATCTATCTATCTATCTCCCTGTAATAGGTAAGGTAGGGAACCTACTCATGGTTTTTAAATATTGACTCAAATGACATATGCAAGCCCAGACAAGGGGTGCTGCTTCATTTCCTTCAGTAACCACTAATAGTAATTTAAAAAATATTCCCATACAGGAAATTACAGCAAGCTTCATTTGCTGATTACAGAAAAAAAAAAAAACAGACAGAAAGAAATGCTTTATTTGTTGGGGCAGGTGGGGGGGGAGTCCCTCATCTTCTTTATTAGTCTCTACCTATCAGTGATGTGTTTAAACTTCTGGCTTTACCAAACAGTAATATTTTCTCCATTGACGTGGAAGACAAGGACTTATCTGCCTGTCTGAGAGGAGCAGCAGGAAATTGAAATATTCTTATCTAAGGAACTGAATACCAAGTAGCTCAGGGAGGAGAAAAAAAAAGGAACATGAGTGCTGTTGGGGGAATATTTCCTTTAGCTCTCTCCGTCATTAAACCCTATCTGTCTGAAGCACAGCTACTGGCTTTATCCCATATGCCTTTCAGGATGTAAGGAAAAAAAATCAGGCATAATGAGCTCATTAATTTGTTGAACTTTGAGGGGGGTGTAATGTAGAATTAGGGCATTATAAATGTGCTTTTTGGACATTCAGGAAAAAGTTCCTGGTTTCTGGACTATTTTGCAAGATACTTTGTTCGTTCACTACTATCTGGGATTTTGAATGACAAATTCTTACATATTGTGATAACTTGCATACTGCCAGAATAAAGTGGTGACAATTAAATAATTATTGGTAATGTAATAGGATATATAGATGTAGAGAAGTGCAACACGCTCAGAGATTCTAGAAAAGCCATTCACGTTGTATGCATAAGAAACATTCTATGTCTAAAAAAAATTCTATGGAAGAGCAAGGTTTTCTCAGTTTGTTGGAGAAAAAAAATATTTCACTCACCTCCACTCCATTTAAAAGATGTCTGAACTCAGGGCAGATGAATGCACTCCCAGCATAGGCTGCATCAATATGCATCCAGACATTTTCCTTATTACCTTAAAAAGTAACAAGCAAATAAATTAAACAGCAGATTACAAATCCTTACTAATTTGCATTAAACCAAATGCCTTAGAGATTTTCTTTGATGCTACTATTTTCCCAAATCGAAATTAAATTAAGAGATGAAATATTTCTACCACTTGGGTTTCTGCTAATACATAAAGATGTGCGCATACATATTCTTCTTCCTTCTCAGTCCCTCTAATGGGACAGAGTCCTTAAATATTTAGATTTATCTTATTAACTAACATAAAATACTACATAATTTTAATTTAAGGACCTTTACAAAATATACTTTTAAAGATATATCTAGAGATGTAGTTATTAATTTCTGTTAATAAAACTTTAGCAGGAAGAACTAGTTTTAGCTGTGCTCCCCACTTCCACCTCACAAATCACACACAAATATTTCTAAAACAGGTTTCCATATCCATGTATATCTATATATGTACATGCATACACACGCATATATATATGCATATATATGCATGCTTTTGAACTAAATACAGCAAACTGTTTATTTTGAGGACTGAGATACTTATCCAAGAGCAAGCACTGAAAGGTTAGTTAGTTCTGATTACTCACCGAATGGTTTCTGCAAAAATATTGCAGAATATAGCATATCGGTCTCATGTATTTTCTGTAATTTACTATTCGCACTCTGCTATTGATCACATGCAATAATTCACACAGTAACAAATCTCATCTATGAGCTGATGACTGAAGCCCACATAACATCTTTACACAAGTCACCAAAAAAGGCTGATGCCTTTTTTTTTTTTTTTACACACAGAGGGGCACATGCATTCAGATCTGTGACTGGGCACCATGTTCATGCCAGAATTTGCATTCTTGTGAACTAAATTTATTATTTGCATAAATGTCTGGAAAAAGTTAATGAAATACTATTCATAACTTCTATGTGAATTAGGTTTAGTTGAAGAGATGTTGACAGTTCATTTTACTTTTTTTTTTTTCCACTTGATTTGAGACATTGCCTTTACTTTACAGCACTTGAGCTCATGCTTTTTTAAGAAGAAAAATCACCTGTCTGCAGAAAAGCTATCATAATGCTTATGATTTAGGGAGTGAGCAATCCTTCTGCTAGTCTCCACTATAGAAGCAGAAAGTCAGGAGAGCAACTGATAAAACATACATGATCACTTGCTATACCTAAAAGTATTGTCGCTATTTTATTAGGTCAGGTTTGTAGGAATAATATGAACAGCAAAATCATTTCTAGCTGATAAGCAGAGTACTAGAAGCCATTTTAGAGAGGAGTATTAGGAGTCTCTGATGCTTGTGCTGAAGAGCAGAAAATCTAATGAAGCAAGCCACCACCGTGCAAACCCCAAGTTTTTTAGGCCTCACCAGAATGAATGAGTGAAACATCAAATCTTGCCATGTTTCTGTGATGCTGCTTCTGATTGCTTCTAGCTATAAAATACCTGTTCTAAATTCACAGTTTAATGTAACTGGTGCACTTTTGTCACACTTTCATCAGTCAGCAAGCGTCCTTTTGACCAAGCCTTTCCTTACCACAGTAGACCATAACACAGGAACAGTTACAAAGAGTCCATGATTCAGTCACTGTATTAAACACCCCTGCACTTGTCCTGCTTTCTTGCAAAAGGAAGAAAATAGGGGAGAGGAGAGAAAGAGTTAAGGAGAATATGTATGGTTTTTTGGTGTGTGTTTCCCTGCTTTTTATAGTCATTAGAACCAAAGAGAAACAAAACACTAGGTGCAGAGGAGAACTAGAGTTCAGCTTTTCCATCATCTTCTTCACTGCTCCAGATCCTCTTGGAAGTAGAAGAGCTTGTAACAGACTGAAGCAGTTACAGTTTTGTTTTTTCCCTATGAAAGTGTTCCAAAAAGCTCTCCAAAAACAAAACTTGGAACTATGATCTCTGTACTCCTTATCGGTCTAAGAATATAAGCCAGCTGCTTGACCTAATATTAGAAAGATAAATGAGACCTTCAGTTAAAATTTTAAGTAGCTTCATTGAACTTGGACACTGACACTGCACAATGCCCTGGAAATGACTCAGTATGGCTTAAACCGACATCTGCAATTTTAGAAAGTAGCAGCAGACAAAGACTTACAAATAGGACCCAGTTCTAACAGTCTGTCAAAGGAGCAGCAAGGTGTGGTTCCAAGTGTTGCACAAAACTGCAGAGCCAAAACACAAAGGCAAAAAAATTAACAAAACAAGTCTTACAGCAAAGAGAATTATCAAATGAACAAAACTGTCTGCAAAGGCAACAACGAAGAGAAAGAGTGCAGATGATACAGGAAAAAAATATATTGTTTTTAGCCGATACCTACCCCTTCAGTGGAATTCCGGAGAATCTAATTTTTTTCCCCAAAGTTCCCATAAGCTTACACTGAGACAAATGCATAAAATACAACGTTAATATAAAACTGATTGATAATTAGTCATATATATTAACGATGTTATATTTTTTTAGATTTTCTGTGTGCCTCACGCTTGTCCTGTAGCCCAATACTAACCTCACACGTGCAATTATCATTAGAATGATTTGCAGTTTATGTTGGTACAGGCAAACTCTGCACATGGGCACTGTAAAGACAGTGGGATTCCTGTTGACCATGAAATGTTACAGCTTGAGTTAAAGAGCCAAGGCTCTGTAACAGAGTTGTAACTGATTTATGCTGAGGGGATCTGCAGGCTGGAACCTGTTCACTAGTAGGATATGTTCCCTATTAGGTTTATGGGATATTTTCCAGATAAACATTTCTCTCCCAGCTTCATCCTAAAACACTGAAATCATGCTACCCTCCCTCTGTTCATTTCTTATCAGATGTATCCCGCTGTATGACTATAGCAGGCCAAAAGCAGACGCAACATAAAAGTTGAAGGAAGTATCACACTAGGAAGAGAACATAACTAGGTGAAAGTGAGCTGCGGAAATTTATTAGGAGTAAGCAGACAGAATTATAATCTAGAAAGCAACTACCAAGTGCATGTAAACTTATATTATTTTATATTTCATTGTAAGTCTTTATGTTTTAAACACCTAGTCTCATTTTTGTAAATAATAATAAAGACTGGGACAGGTTTGTGCCTTCTACTGAATTTACATGTAATAAAGGACAATTTACAGTTTAAATAGTGAAAGTATACTATTTTTTAGCTGGAACATTGAAGTACTAAGGCATTAGATCATTTATACAAGGTCGCACACAGCTCTGTACTACAGCCAGGAGTAAAACCGCAAATTTTTTAAATGCAGAAACTTTTTTATTTTTGTACTTGCAGTTCCTTTTTCTGCAAGAACACTGTCAACCCACCACCTTTTGTTTCCGCTGTTTTTCCCTAGGCATCTACAACTGGTCACATTTCGGGGAGGTTGTTTCTGTTGGGGGCGGGTGCTTTACTGTGTGCATGTTACTAAGGCATGCTTATTCTCTGCAAATGTCCCTCAGTGAATTCATGACACCTCCTGTAAGAAAAGAAAGGAGCGCCGTGATGGTATCTGTCCATCCACTATACCTTCCAAGAAACAAACACACTGCCTTAGCAAAATATAGATACAATTATATGTTAAAACTCAGTGCAGCTTTTCTTTCTCAACTCCATTATGAGTATGTACACAGAGCCTTTGGGTTCAGTGCTCCCCTCTGTAGTGGGAGTGACACCATCAGGAAACGTTTCCAGTGGTTCCCTCTCTATATTGCACTTCTCTGGCCCATCCAGCTGGCTAAGTATGTCCAGTGCAGCAAGTCTTCCTGATGTGTTAGAGGGTGTCCTCAGTAAAGAGCAGCACGCATTGCGGTGTCATTGCGGCTCCAGCTGCGGAGCCGCTGTCGGACCAGGGCAGGCTGCCTGTGCCCCACCTAGAGGCACAGTCAGTGGCTCGACTGTGTGGGGCTGAGGGGACTTTCAGTCTCATCTCTTACAGTCATCCTCATGGAAGCAAGCACTCCTGTAGCAAACAAAGCATTTTTTTTGCATGTAGGTTTCCTGCTGCAGTCTTTCCTTCTTCAGGCTTTTCGTTTATATCTCTACCATCTCCATAGCCCAACAAGTTTTCTACACTGGAGAAAAAATTGTTACTATGCCAGTAGCAAGGTGTTTGCGAAAATCCTATAGTCTGTTTTAGTCTAACAGCACACTTAACTTGCCAAGCGTATAGCCTTTTCTGTTCTAGCCGGGATGTAGCTTCTGCATTTCACTGATGTCTCTCTACTTCTAGGAGTTCCCGTTACGCAAATGCGAAATTATGTCCTTCTTCCATCTTTTTTTACAAGGTGATACAAATTTGCACTAAGCGTTTCTACTCTACTTAAACAGTCTGCTTGAGATATGCGAATATTTAATCTTTTATTTGTTCCCTTGAACAGACATTCTCATTTGTAAGTTGTTGCCCTCTCTGAAGTTAAACATGAATTGCTACATGAGATTTTCTTGACTTTTTCACCAGCTATTGGATATTGAAATTTAGACTGTTAAAAGTCATCTACAGTCACATCTTGAAGTAAATCCTGTGCATACCTTGAGACTAATTAAAAGTTGGTTTTCCCTTTAGGGGTTCCCTGATTAGTCCTTCCAAGGAGTTGTCCTGAAACTTTAGAAAGTTTACTTATCTTTGCTTTTCACATGCAGCTTTTCTTCTATTTCTTTTGTTACAAGAAACAAAGCAGTAACAGCATAAGACCAGACACCTTGAAAAAATAATCAGATCTTGAGACAAAGATATGAATAAACACAGTGGGATTTTCATTTGCAGTGTCTAGTTTTTTGGAGGATGAATGAAAGGTGAGAGAGGCTTGTTTTACTACTTACTAAGCTAGACTTTCCAAAACTCCTAGGGATTCCCATACTAACAGAAACTTCCAGTAAAAAACAGCACATGGATATGCATTCAAAAGAGCCAGAAATTTAAAGTGATATGTACCAAGTATATCAAACTAATAAACAACCCATTGCTATAGGTAAAACCTCTCTCCTAAGTATGCTCCCAAACACATCTACATCTTTAGTATACAGCACACCTCAAAGGTATTTTAAATTCTGTTCCCGCAGGGAGCTGAATGTTTCTGTTTAATAGAAAATACTCGGACAGTACTCAGTTTAAATAACCTTAGATATACAGTTAGAGGAAGTCATAGCCTGCCTTTGTGGAGGGTAGACCGGATTAAGTGTAGTCATACAAAACCCTGAAAACATTTTAGCTCTGACACTGCACATATTCTCCCACCTTGATCGCTACACCAATTTCAATAGCTATAATGATGTTTCATTGCACCAATAAAAAAAGTAGTTACAGGAAAAGAGATTATTAAAATAAGAAGGGATCAATTCACAATTTTTTTCATATCAAGCAATTAAGAACGTAGGATGGAAACAAATACAGTTCTGAAAATGAGAAGCATACTGAACACAGAGATAATACAATTTTGCTCCTGACACAACTTCTTCCCCCAAATAATATAACCTTTTTCTATACTGGGCCCTCCCATATTCCTGAGACAAATGAGAAAAATAGCATGGTTACAGTGCTTGAGGTAAATGTATGTCCACTCTAGAAGTTTAATCATCCTTTGTGGAAGGTTAAAAAATTAATTTCAATCTTTAAAACAAAAACAAAACAAAACTGCAGAATATATTTTAACTAAGGAAGAGGTTTGCTCTCCTTTTTTACTAGTAGAGCACGCACATATAAAGTAATTAATAATACATCTGTTGCAGTGCTGCCTACCTGAGACGTTCCCACAATCAGGAAGAACCTATATTTCACCTTTGGTTTAACTAGAGATCTAGCAATAGGGTCACAAAAGAATGGAGAATACCATGATGAAAAATAAATCCAATTTTTCTATACATGTAAGAATAGTGGCTAACTCATTGCACTGGGAAATACTGAAATGAAGAGTCCCCTACAGTCTTAGCTCTGCGCTCTTATACATACATTTTATGATAACGTACTCTGGACTTTCTGACAAGATTAGAGCACAATTCTCTTAATCAGTCCACTGATATTCAAAAAAAAAAAGAAAGAAAGAAAAAAAAGAAGAAAAAAGAAGAAAAAATGAAGGTTACTGCATGATTTCGTTACAAATTATTGATGTTAGTGCTGTACTACAGTTAAAGCATTTTCCTAATCACTGTAAGGAATATGTTGTTTTGGTAAGAGATTAGATGAGTTCAAACACAGACTTAGCTGTTTAAATAAATGGCTTATTCTGTAAAGTATACCTCAATTTCTAAAATAATTTTGTTGTCCTCTCTGCAGGTGTCTAAGCCTCAAAGCTACTTGTGTTAATTCTCTGAAACCCCTTGAAGTGACAGCATCTGCTCTTGTCAGGGCTGTCCTTAGCCTGCCTCAGTACTAAATAATGAATCTAACTCAATTTGTAACCTGTATTACACCAGCATAATCACATTTGCGCAAGGGCCAGGGGACAGACTGCATCACCGAAATGAGACCGACGGCTCAGTAGAGCCCGCAGGCCTTACCCTTTTCAGGTTGTGAGCTTCAAATTGGACTCAGTCATAGCGGCGAATACAAAGCAGCTAAAACGCTTGCGTCAAGTCATCTCCTGTATTACTTTCCTGAAATCAAGATCTATGTCAGGGAACGTGCATGAATCTTTATGATGCCCGAGAGCAATGATTCTCAACCTCTTCTACTGGAAAACCTCCTACACCTTTTGGGAAAGAAAAAGATGAAAAGATGTGGACGCATTTTGTATAGCTTTGCCATAAAGCTTTTTATTTGCAATTAATTAAAATGAGATAGAGTTTTTAATGTTCTCTTACTACTTTTATTTTCTCTTGCTGAGTTGTTTGCCAGCTTGCGCTCATGAGAATGTCTGTGGCTTAACAAAACTGCAATGGTTTACTAAACCCCCATTGAATATCTTAGGAAACAGTAATCATTCACAAATTGTGGGTTAAGAAACATCACCCTTGAGGTCTGCGTATGTCTCAGAGGATGCTTCTTCCAAACAGGAATCTGTTGTCAGGATCTTAGTGTTAACTCCTACTGAAAAGATGGCTCCTCTATCAGTTTAATTCAGATTTATTGTTTCCCGTGCGAGTTCAGATACAAACAGCCTGCTTCTTAATATCCTGTAGATCATCACTCAGAAGAGTCATTTCAGCTAGAATCAGAGAGATTTCACGCTGGGTCTTTGTTGAGCAGAAAACAGATCATGTGACAGCAGCATTGTACTGGATGAAGTTGTTGTAGCAGCTGGCCTATATAATAGTACAATATACTTCAATATATCAGTGCTGATATACAAAAGATAATGCAAAGCCCACAAGCCACTTACAAACATTCAAGTGAGCTACGCTTGAATGCAGTGGACCATACCTCTGAATTTAGTAGTGCATAATTTAAGTGATCTCCACATATGGGTCTCCTGCTCAACACTCACCTAATCCAGAGGTTTACATCAAGCCGCGATCACAGGGCCCAACTGAGAAAAGCATTTAAGCATGTGCTTAACCTCCACTTAATGTTTATAATTAATGAAATGAACATGACTTCAACACCCCGGCTGAACTAGGGGCCACATGAAGGGCTGCATACCGGCCACACTTTGAAATTGCTACTACGTAAATTGTGACAGTTTCAGTTGCTCATCACTTGAAGGGGCTGAGCATATTGTTTGCACAGTATGCCCTGCTTCACTATATCAAACTAAGTCTGTGCTTCAATTTCTGCACAAGTATTTTGCAAGAGACAAATTAACCAAAGTCTGAATCTGGAAATAAAAGGAGGAAACATAAGCAGAGGTCTAGGCGCACTGCTACAATTTGGCAATAGCTTCTACTGAGCAAAGCGATAAACTACTAGTGCTAAAAGATACTGATGGTAGAGAGGAATTCAAAGACGCTCTTTTTAAAAACAACGTCCCTTTCTTCTCCCTCCCCTGCCAAAAGACTGTTTGCCAAATTTATGTGAAAGCCAATTCTGTAATTGCCAGATTGCTGTAACGAGAGAGCCTGCTTCGCATCAAGCCCAGCAATGAACCCCTCCCTGATTCTCCACTCACCTCTAAAAGGAAAGCATTTCTATCAACTTCAGCATGATGATTCCCAATTTATTCAATATGAGAGGAGAATCAGGTATACAAAGCATCATATTTTGCTTGTATCTTCTTTTTGATCCCCTCCAGAATCACTTTGCTGATAAGAGAGACTGCATCAGCTTGGAGGCAACCAAGATCTCTTCATTAGGAAGGTTCTCTCTGCATTCACAAGTCTCTTCAGGCACAATTTCTTCTAATAAACTTTCTGCTTTGATGCTGAATCTCTCCCCTTAGCAAAGGATCAGTAAATGCAGGGAGACAAGGAATAAAGTGGAGTAAGGTGTTTCCTTAGCAATGTGCATATCTTTGTCACGAGAACAAAACAAAATAGCACCAAATTACTCCAGAACAAAAGAAATGGAAAGGCTTTTGAAATCTGCAAGCCAGAAAAGGGAGCACTAATATAGTGCATGAACTGCTGCTCAGCATGACAGAGAATTAACACACCTTTTGAATTAAGAGGCCAACCATAAGGATAATGAGATCTAGTTTAATCTAAGCTGACATGTTTTATGTATACAAATAAATGGAAGACCTCGCACAGGCCATATTAACTCAGACTGAGCCTGTGCTGCCTTTGAAAGCCTGTTTTGCACAGCTAAGCAAACAGAGGAGGAAAAACAACAGTTAAGTCACCCTTTGTAATGGTGTTGCTGAATGCATAAACAGAATATTTGATTTCCCCTTGCTACACACAGAAAAATTAACACAGAACGAATATTTATGAGGGGCAAGTTGCATTTTTTGTTAATGGATATAAGATGAGCAACAAAACACATTATCACTTCTCCACGCACTAACAACAAAGTTATAGTGCTGTACTTGGTATGTTGTTAAGCAGGAAAAAAAAAAAAGAAAAAAAAAACAAAACAAAGAAAACCCTAGAGAAGAGAACTGTTTAAAATAAATAGTAAGATAAAAAAATTAGGACCTTATATAAGATATTACAAACTGGTATAATATAACACGAGGATTGTGGCACATCTCCGCTTCCACAGACACAGCCAGTACAATTAAGTTCATTTAGGCAGCCCTATGGACGCTTTGTTCCTCAGTCACAGTCTTACTGTATTGGAAAAGCAATCAACGTGATGCGCTCAGTTATCCCAAGGACTCACTAGTTCTAGATAGGCTAGAAAATAGCAGCATACCACACCTATGCAAAATGTTCTTTACCCTAGCCATCCTCACACTATGTAAAACCAGACACTAAAGACTAATAACAAGAAGAGTGAAATGATTTTATTTTTAAAAGGTTTGATGTATTTAAGCTTCTTTGACTTTTTGGCACTTACCCAAAGTGCCTATAAGCAACCTTAATCTGCTAAATATCCTGAAAAGAGTTCATAGAAACTTAAGGCACATTGGCCCTTTTGAAAATGTTACCACAGGAAAGAAAAGAAACAACTGCTGAGTGAGATATGACTTTTCTGAGAAAAAGAAAAAGGTAATATACTTCATAATAATGATATTTAGATATGGAAGTTGTTAAAAGTAAAAAGTATTACATTATAATTAGCAGTAAATATCAGTATCAAGTTATAAATAGCAGTTTATAAAGTTTGTAGGCCAGTTTAATATATTATTGCTAGCATATTATACCCCTTTATAAATCTATACAGATCACGGTCTATATCAAGTTTTGCAGAGGTATAATGCTTAGAAATGAGCAAACCATTTTATTACTGATGTTCAATCAAACAGAGTTTACTTGCTCCATGAAAAACCAAATGGTAAACCCTTGCTTTAACTTGAAATAATAAGATGGTGTTTTGAATTGACAGGAGGAGGAGATCTGATGAATAAGCAAATATTCTTTTGAATTACATATTTATTATAGCAGAGCCAAACTTCACAACTGTATCCAATCCAAGGCTGTTCTGTGTCAACACTTGAGGGATTACGAGCTTTAGCTACTGAGACAGAGACACGCTTGCTTCTGCTGCTCTACTGTGGAAACTGTAACCTCTGGAAAGAGT